GCCAAAAAGGAAGGAAGCACTTTTTTAAAATGGGAGCTGTCAAAAGGAAAATTGAAGGGGCTCCCACTGGCCAAATCTTGAAGAATTTAAGCACCCAAATATTGAGTAATGAATTATAAACCATTAAAACAGAAAGTTATGAGGGGTGGTCGGTGAGCTCAGCTGGCTAGAGAGTGGTACTGATAACACCAAAGCCCAGGGTTCGATCCCTACACCAGCCAGCTGCCAAAAAAAAAAAAATAAAAAGGAATTTATGAGTCCATAAGTCCATATTAATAACAGATAGGATAATAGGTAGAATAGATGATAGATAGATGATAGATGGATAGATAGATAGATAGATAGATGAGATAAAGAGGAGGAGGAGGTGGGAGAGAAGAGAAGGTTCTTGCTTCCAGAAGAATCCCAAGTTCTGGTAGGTCAGCGTGGAGAGACTGCTGGACTTAGAAAATCAACATTTGCAACCCTCTCAGTAAAGACCTCTGAAGCAAGAATCATCAATGGATCAAAACTGCACAATCTTGGGGGGCAGTTTTGATGAGGAGTAGGAGGTGGTCTTAAAGAGTCTCCCCACAGAATGCTTACTGGTTGCAAGGGAGGAAAAAGAAAACAGTAATTATACAGTAGAGTAATTGGGCAAAACCTTGACTGGGTGGTCGACATTTACATCACTTTAGAGGGACAGATGGACATCGTGTCCCCCAGATGTTCAACACGCTGAGAAGGACACATCACATACGCAGTATTCTGGCCCAGAATGCCTAACTTCAATTTAATTATAAGGAAATATCAAACACAAAATAAGGGATGTTTTAATTTTTAAAGGGGGAGGTATATTCTTCAAACATGTCAACGTCATTAAAGATAAAGCTGTGGGAAACTTCCAAATTAAAAGAGTCTACACAGGACACAAAATGCACTGTCTGATTAGAGAACTAGATAGGGGAAAATACGCTGTAACCGACTTTGTCGTGTCAGTTGATAAAGCTGGGATACAAATGGGAGATTAGATAAAAGTATTGTATCACTGTACATTTATGAAATGGCTAACTGTGGTTATGTAAGCCAATATCCCTGTTCTTAAGAAGTACACACCGATGATGTGTTTAGAGGTAAAGGACCGTGATGTCTGTAATTTACTCTCAAATGAAGCGGGGGTGGATAGAGAGCGAGCGAGCGAGGGAGCGCACAAATGATAAAGCAAATGGGGTTCAATATCAACAATAGATGAATCTGGATAAAGGAGATACGGGCGTTCTTTGTACTCTTTATTTTCATAACTTTTTATAAATTTGAAATTATTTCCAAATAAAATGTTCAAAATTTTTATGACAGAAAAGACCCAGTAGCCCTCAGAAAATGCTTTTGCTCGACACTCCCACCAACCACCCGGGAGTGCTCTCTTCCCACACCCTTGACAACACCGACTGCTGTCACACTTCAAAGTTTTAACAGCCTTGTGGGTGAGGACTGCATCTTGTCTTATTTTGCACTTCCTTCGTTGCTAATGACATAGGGCATCTTTTCATATTGTTATCTTTCTTCCTCTACAAATTATCCAAATCTTTCTCTTATTTTTTCTATTGAAGTATTTAATTTTTTTCTTACTGAGTTGTGGAAACTCTTTATATATTGTGTACATTATACAAGGATTTTATCTGAAATTATATCAAAATATTAGCACAGGGAATGATACAGAATAATTGCTCAGAAAAAGGATGCTTTCATCATGTGTTACTTTAATATCGGGGGGTTAATATTTAAATACTTCAATGTAATAGCACTTTAATGGTATGCAAGAAGATGGGTTCAGTAGAGACTGGGTTCAAATCCCACTGGCCATGCTGTTAAGCTTCCCTAAGCCTCAGTTTCCCTACTCATGAATTTAATCTAAAGGTTGTACTGAGGGGCTCATGACACTCTATCTGCAACAGGTATAGAACAGTACTTGGTATGCAGAAAGCACTTTCTAAATGCTAACTATTATTAATTGTGCTGCTGGAAAGCTCCCCACCACTGCCAAGGAGGAGCCCTTACCAGAAACACGTAGCATAGCATGATGGTAATTGTTTTCACCAAAAGAGATGCGATGCAGGGTGTACACGCCCTCCTCCCATGCTCTCATATCAGTGATGGTCAGGGAACCATTGGCACTGCCTGTGTCCCGGCCAGTGTGGGCTGGTCCTAGAGCGTGGCCATGGTTGTTGAAGTTAAAATTGAGGATCCGGGTAACCGAATTCGTGGTTGTTCCTCGGAGTCAGTTGTAGGAGATGAGATTCTGAGGGATCCCCTGGACAGATAGGGTGATGTTGTCTCCCTCGATGGCCCACAGAGGGACGGATGTGGTGGTCAGCTGGACAGACACCTGCTTGCTGCAGAAGCTCAGGAAGGAGGCTGAAGTAGGAAGTAAGGGGCACTATCATGGGGGTCACTTAGCAGCATCCAATACTAGATTCAGTCCTTATTAGATTCTCACTCAGAATTTAAGCAATGGGAAAGGGAAAAGCATGTTAAAGGCCCTGAGGCAGGAGTGATATTGTTGTTTTTGAGGTAACAGCAGGTAGATCAGTGTGGCTGGAGCTGAGTGAAAGGGAAAGAGGTAGGAAATATGGTCAGAGAGGTAAGGGGGGATAGATCACACGGGTGCTACTGGCATTTTTAGCAAGATAGTTATTGGTCGTGTGGCTCTGTCCTGTGTATTTCAAGTAGTTTATCACCTCCCCCCACCCCCACCCCATTGCAGCAGCATCTCCCTCCAGGCATTGAGACAAGGAACATCCCTACACATTGCCAAATCCCTGCTAGGGGGCAGTATTGGACCAAGTCGGGAAAATTCACGTAGGATCGTGTGGACAATTGTAGGGACTTTCCATTGTATTCTGAGAGTCAGAGAACCACTGGAGACTTTTGAGTTAAGGAGTAACACAATGTGCCTAACGTTCTCAAATGATCATTCTGGCTGCAGAGTGAATTGAATCCAAGGGTAGAGTTGCCACATTGCTCAGCTCCATGGAGTGAACTGCCATTCACATCGCAGTTAGTGCGAATGGTGCTTTCAGCAATTGTGCAGTGCACAACCTGCACAGCTATATGTGGTGACCCCAGGCAAGGTAAAAACAGGGGGTACCATTTAGGAGATGTCTGCAACAATCCAGGTGAGAGATATGAGTAGGGAAGAAATAAGGATTTATATCGCGTAACTGTTACCCGCAAGACAGGGCCATTTCCAAAACCTACCACCTCTGTAGGGACCCTCCAAGCGTCCAGCCATGTTTCTATGATGCCTCAACAGTCTAACTGTCCTTCTGCTTCCTCCCAGGTGCAGTCCAGGCCTAGGGGAGGTTCAAGAGTATCTGAGAGGCCCCTCCTCCTGCAGGGTTTTTAGTATTTCCTCCTCCCCAAAAAGGGCCCATCAGTCCTGTCCCCTAAATCCCACTCTCATTCACCCCCATATTCTTCAGTGAGGGTTAGGGAAAAGGTCCACTGGCACCAAGCTAGGGTCTCACCAGTTCTACAGGTTCCTCCAGGCTCTGCAATGACCAGCCGTCCAGCCCCAATGCTGCTTTGGCCAGAAAGAGCAGCTTGGCACTGCATTTGCTGACAGGCAGCATGGCCTATGCCCTGGGCAGGCGGGGCAGCCTCCACTTGTCCCAGAGATTCCTTCTGCCACCCAAGGTGCCAGGCATGCTGTGCTGTCCCTTGTGAGGTTACAGGGCTATTGGAACCAGCCAGGTCTCCAGGTTAATTTTGGTTAATTTTTTAGGGACCCACAGCCTTGTGTAGAAGGCTTGACATTGGATGGCCTTGAAGGATTTGGACATGAGCTTATCAGAACAAGTGAAAACAAGAAAAAAGATAAAAGTGGCCTCTTCACCTCAGATTCTGTATTGCAACAGTTTTCACTGGCAGGGTCAAGGCCTAAGATGGACAAGGAAAGCAGCCTGGTGGAGGGAGACTTTGAAATACACTTGATCCTTGATTTCCAAAGTCTGCAGGCCACTTGAGAAGTGGTGTAAATGGGCAGAGAGAGGGGACAGATGCATATTATTTGATCAATAGGGGGAAACAAAAAATAAGTTTGGAAACCACCGATCTAGAATTTCAAAATGACAACACCCAGGGCTGGTAAGGATAAGGCCAGAGTACGTTGGGGCAACTTTTCTGGAAAGCAATTTGGCAAGATGTGTTAAAAGACACGTGCATTTTCTTTGACCCCAGAATTTCTCTTCTATTTTTCTTAAGAAAATTATTATAGATATATGAAAATATTTACTTCTAGAATAATTATGACAGCATTGTTTATAGCAAAAAATAAAATGGAAACAACCTGTGTTCTGTTCTGCAGAGAAACAGAACCAATAGAATGTATTCTATTGGAGGGTGTGTGTGTGTGTGTGTGTGTGCGTGCGTGCGTGTGTGTGCGTGTGCGTGTGTGTGCGTGCGTGCGTGCGTGCGTGTGAGTGCGTGCGTGCGTGTGCGTGCGTGTGTGTGTGTGTGTGTGTAAAACCTGGAGGCTAATGAGCCAGAATTCTGCAGGGCAGGCAGGCAGGCTGGAGACCCAGCCTCCACAGTATGACCCCTGCCAGCCTTTCCCCCATTAATGTTCANAAAACAGGGGGTACCATTTAGGAGATGTCTGCAACAATCCAGGTGAGAGATATGAGTAGGGAAGAAATAAGGATTTATATCGCGTAACTGTTACCCGCAAGACAGGGCCATTTCCAAAACCTACCACCTCTGTAGGGACCCTCCAAGCGTCCAGCCATGTTTCTATGATGCCTCAACAGTCTAACTGTCCTTCTGCTTCCTCCCAGGTGCAGTCCAGGCCTAGGGGAGGTTCAAGAGTATCTGAGAGGCCCCTCCTCCTGCAGGGTTTTTAGTATTTCCTCCTCCCCAAAAAGGGCCCATCAGTCCTGTCCCCTAAATCCCACTCTCATTCACCCCATATTCTTCAGTGAGGGTTAGGGAAAAGGTCCACTGGCACCAAGCTAGGGTCTCACCAGTTCTACAGGTTCCTCCAGGCTCTGCAATGACCAGCCGTCCAGCCCCAATGCTGCTTTGGCCAGAAAGAGCAGCTTGGCACTGCATTTGCTGACAGGCAGCATGGCCTATGCCCTGGGCAGGCGGGGCAGCCTCCACTTGTCCCAGAGATTCCTTCTGCCACCCAAGGTGCCAGGCATGCTGTGCTGTCCCTTGTGAGGTTACAGGGCTATTGGAACCAGCCAGGTCTCCAGGTTAATTTTGGTTAATTTTTTAGGGACCCACAGCCTTGTGTAGAAGGCTTGACATTGGATGGCCTTGAAGGATTTGGACATGAGCTTATCAGAACAAGTGAAAACAAGAAAAAAGATAAAAGTGGCCTCTTCACCTCAGATTCTGTATTGCAACAGTTTTCACTGGCAGGGTCAAGGCCTAAGATGGACAAGGAAAGCAGCCTGGTGGAGGGAGACTTTGAAATACACTTGATCCTTGATTTCCAAAGTCTGCAGGCCACTTGAGAAGTGGTGTAAATGGGCAGAGAGAGGGGACAGATGCATATTATTTGATCAATAGGGGGAAACAAAAAATAAGTTTGGAAACCACCGATCTAGAATTTCAAAATGACAACACCCAGGGCTGGTAAGGATAAGGCCAGAGTACGTTGGGGCAACTTTTCTGGAAAGCAATTTGGCAAGATGTGTTAAAAGACACGTGCATTTTCTTTGACCCCAGAATTTCTCTTCTATTTTTCTTAAGAAAATTATTATAGATATATGAAAATATTTACTTCTAGAATAATTATGACAGCATTGTTTATAGCAAAAAATAAAATGGAAACAACCTGTGTTCTGTTCTGCAGAGAAACAGAACCAATAGAATGTATTCTATTGGAGGGTGTGTGTGTGTGTGTGTGCGTGCGTGCGTGTGTGTGTGCATGTGTGTGTGTGCGTGTGCGTGCGTGTGTGTGCGTGTGCATGTGCGTGCGTGTGTGCGTGCGTGCGTGCGTGCAGGCCACTTGAGAAGTGGTGTAAATGGGCAGAGAGAGGGGACAGATGCATATTATTTGATCAATAGGGGGAAACAAAAAATAAGTTTGGAAACCACCGATCTAGAATTTCAAAATGACAACACCCAGGGCTGGTAAGGATAAGGCCAGAGTACGTTGGGGCAACTTTTCTGGAAAGCAATTTGGCAAGATGTGTTAAAAGACACGTGCATTTTCTTTGACCCCAGAATTTCTCTTCTATTTTTCTTAAGAAAATTATTATAGATATATGAAAATATTTACTTCTAGAATAATTATGACAGCATTGTTTATAGCAAAAAATAAAATGGAAACAACCTGTGTTCTGTTCTGCAGAGAAACAGAACCAATAGAATGTATTCTATTGGAGGGTGTGTGTGTGTGTGTGTGTGTGCGTGCGTGCGTGTGTGTGCGTGTGCGTGTGTGTGCGTGCGTGCGTGCGTGCGTGTGAGTGCGTGCGTGCGTGTGCGTGCGTGTGTGTGTGTGTGTGTGTAAAACCTGGAGGCTAATGAGCCAGAATTCTGCAGGGCAGGCAGGCAGGCTGGAGACCCAGCCTCCACAATATGACCCCTGCCAGCCTTTCCCCCATTAATGTTCATCGCCTCCGTCCCTCCCTCCCACACATAGAGAACTCTATTCTCTTGCTCCTCGCTCAACACCTTGCCATCTCTGTGCCCCATGCCCTTCACCTGTGAAGGCCTACAGCAAGGGAGGGGTGCTGAACACTTACCTGGAGAGGGCTCTCCTTGACTCTGCATGGTAAAAGCCAAGTTTTCAGCTTGGCATTCAAGGCCTCTGCAAACAGGCCTCCACCTACATTTTCAACACTAACTTCCATATGCCTAGAAAGGAACTATGGTCTCTTATTCCCCACTCACTACCCTTGCACCCTCCCAGCCAGCCATTCCACCAGGCCCACAGGTGTGGAGGGGCCTGCTTTGTACAGGGAACCTTTTTTGGTTCCTCGTGCCCAGCAGGGTAACATGTGATGTCTTCAGCTTGACATTCAAGGCTACCACAGTCTGGTCTCTGCCAACTTGTCCACCATTAACTTCCATCAGAATAGAAAGAGAAGTCAGGAAGCTGATTCATCCCTCCCTATCCTCATCCTGTCCAGGGGTCCCCTCAACACTGCTGCAGAGATGAGAGCCCAACCCTCCTCCAGGAAAAGGAAAACCACAACTACTCAGTCCCTCATGAAGCCCAGGAAATACCCCACAGTGGCTGTCAAAAGCACACCAACCAGCACTCTGAGCACAATGCCAGCGGTGCTCCCTACAGGGATGGCTGGGTCCTGGCCATTGTCAACTGGGGCTTCTGTAGAAAGACAGGAGGGACAGAGATGGGGAGGCTATGGTAGGCCAAATGATTGTGCCCAAAGATGCCCAGGACTTAATCCCTGGAACCTGTGAATGTCACTCTATATGGTAAAAAGAGGCTTGGAAGATGTGATGAAGTTAAAGATCTTGAAATGGGGAGATTAGCCTGGATGATCCAGGTGGCACCTAAATGCAATTAGAAGTGTCCTTATAAGAGGGAAATATGACACAGAAGAGAAGGCCATGGTGGAAATAGAGGGAAACAGAGTCAGAGAGGGAAGATGCAATGGTGCTGGCTTTGGAGATGGAAGAAGAGACCATGAGCCAAGGAATGCACTTCTAGAAGCTGGAAAAGGCAAGGAAATAGATCCTCCCCAGGAGCCTCCAAGGGAGGGTCTCTGAGTCCCAAAGAAGTGCTCATGGGGCAGGAAGGCCTGTGTTCTACAGAAGCAGTTCTATCATGAGACTTCAAGGTCTCTTACAGATGAGAACATTTCCAGTTCTCAGAAAACCCAAGTGCAACAAGCCCAGGTCTTCAAACTCTCCTTGCTCCTTCCCACCTCAGGGCCTTTGCACTGTTCGTTCTGCCTGGAAGTCTGACCCTTCTCGCCCTGCACTGTCTTCACCTAGGTGACTATGTGGGTGGATGAATAGGTAGTTGGGTGGACGGGTGGGTGGGTGGGTGAATGTTTGTGTGGATAAGTGGCTGAATGGGAGAGTACATGGGTGGATGGATGGGTGTTCTAATTGGTGGATGGGTGGACGAATGGATGGGTATGTGCACAGAGGAGGGATGAGTTTGCTAGTGGATAAATGGGTGGGTCAATAGGTAAATGAGTGTTAGGCATAGATAGATTGATATGGAAGTCAATGGATGAATGGGTGGGTAAATGGGTTGGTGAGTGAATGTTTGCATAGATGAGTGGATGGATGGGCTGGGGGGTTGATGGATGGATGGATGATGAATGAATGGATGGATGGAAGGAAGCATGGATGTGTGGGTATGTGGGTGAATGGATCACATGAGGAAGCCCCGAAACTTTGATGTGTACTGCCAGCTGGGCTACACTCTGCGGGCTTGTGTCTGCATTGACAGTGTGGCAGCTGTACAGCCTGAACTATTAGCAAGACATGCAGGATGGAGAGGAGCTCCCCTGCTGCCCATGGTCTCCCGTTCACCTTCCATGTGCGTTCGATAGGCAGGGTGTATAGTTGGCAAAGCAAGAGAGGATGAGATTGGAGCCAACCACAAAGATGGAATCCATGGGATTTATCAAGGGGACATCAGGACTGTCTGTGGAAGACAGAACAGATACTCTCAAGATATTCTTTTTTTTGGGGGGGGGAAATAGAATAATTTAATTTTAGATTTAACTTGAAATTTAGTTTGGTTTTTTTTAAATTTTATTTTATTTTGTCAATATACAATGTGGTTGATTATCGTGGCCCATTACCGAAACCTCCCTCCCGCCTCCCTCTCTCCCATCCCCCCCAACAATGTCCTTTCTATTTGCTTGTCATATGAACTTCAAGGAATTGTAATTGTTGTGTCTTCTTCCCTCCCCCCCAGGTTATTTGTGTATTTATT